GGGGGGGGGGGGTGGCACCTTCTATTATTCGACTATGCCCCAAAACCCTATTGATATTATGGCCTCTAAAGGGCGAAGGGTGGGTTTCGAGTGCGAACCCATAAATAACGTGAGCTGATGTTCCGGAGCTGGGATACCTCTTTGGGATACCGTTCTTGTATGTTGCTTCGGACAAAGCCGCGGCTCCTTGAAGTACCCGGGATGAAATGAAGCTGATGCTCATGATCCTCGAATTTGGGGCTTGCGTCGCCACGTAGTGCAACATCCGACATCTGATGCTCAGAATGCTCGTAGTTTTGGGCTTGTGGTAAAGTCACAGGTTTGGCGCCCTGCGGTGGGACATGCAGCAGCTGATGCTCGAGATGCTCGATGGAAGCTGTGGAGCAGCTGTTGCTCATGGTGCTCGCTGACTGGCGTCTCGTGCAGGAACGTGCTGCAACTGATGCACGTGAGCTTGCTGTGTTACGGCCTCTTAGGGCTCGTGCTAAAACATGCAGCAGCTGATCCAGCTGATGCTGGTGATATTCTCCCGTTTGTGGTAATGGCACATGATGCTCGCTGGTGATACGAACATGCGGCAGCTGATGCTCATGATGCTCGCTGGTTGCGGGCAAGTTTCTGGAACGTGCGGCAGATGATGCTCATGATGCTGGCTGGTTTGGGGCTTGTGGCACAACGCGGGACTGTGATGCTTCGGTGGAATGCGCGGCAGCTGATGCTCGTGATGCTCGCTGGCTTGCGGCTTGTGGTGGAACATGTGCCGGCTTACGCTCATGATGCTCGTGACGCTCTGTGGTTCTTGGCGTGTAAATGAACGTGCAGAAAGCAGCTAGTGCAGCTGATGCTTCTGATGCTCGCTGGTTGGCGGCATGTGATGCAACATGCAGCGGCTGATGCCCAGGATGCTCGCGAGCTTGGGTGGTGGGATGCACGGCTCGTGCTGTCGGCTGGTTTGGGGCTTGCGCGGCAGTTGATGATCGTGGTGCCCGCTGGTTTGAGTATAGTAACCAAAAATTCAACACTATATCTAAGTACCGCTAAGTCGTTCTGTAAAAGTTCAGGTCAAGGCCTTGCCTTTTGAACTTGTCGGCTTAGCGGATCATATTCTGGGTCGTGAATGCTTCGCAGCACAATCCTCCCCAAGAAACAGGCTAAGATGATGACGTTTGAGAGTTTGTGAGGGGTACCAAGTACAGTATAGAGAACTGGTGGGTAGCTATACGTATACGTGGCTTCCACAAGAAAAACGGAGCATTACTTGCTTACAACTGCTCGCGCGGTACCGCAGTAGTGGCCGTAATGAAAGCCACATTGCGAACTAATCTGAAACCAGATACCCTGAACCCTAAACCCAAAACCCCAAACCCTGAGCCCTAGACCCTGAACCGTGCACCCCTAAGTTCGGAAAGCTGCAAAATCTTATCCCCTGGACCCCAACAGGTCCCTAAGAACGTGAATCCTAAGTCCATGACACAAAAAATGCATCTCATCTCTCCAGCCCATCTGAGGCCTGAAGCCCTATAACCTTGAGCCCACATACCATAGGGTTTACGGTTTAGGGTATAGAAGTCTGACTGATGATTGATGCTACTCCTCAGGGCGTCTGATTACAATTCTACTTCCTTGTCATAGCTACAAGTTATAGTATAATACATCCCAAAAAAAAAACAAAAAGAAAATCCTTGTCTATAATTTATGAAGGCCCCCATATATTGCCCTAAAACCTAAGCCCTTAAGCCCGAAGCTTTCAGAGCCCCCCCTAAACCCTAAAGCCCTAA